TCGATCTTCTAAAATTAGAATCCTTCAAACACATTTCCGACGAACCTTGTCCGAAACGTTGGCAATTATTCTAGAGATCAATCTATTCGATGCGCAGTCGTTGTTCAGTCGCACCGAATCCTGCCAGGAGAATGAGCGTCTGGCAATGTTAATTATGTCGGTCCGAATTAGTCGCCGCGACGGTCCCTTTCCAGGTCAAAATTGTTCAAATTTCCAGGGAAAGTTCCTTAGCGACAGTGCGTCACGGACTACAGTTTAAATAGTTCCCGTTAAAAATTTCACGGCGGAAGCGTTTTATGATAAACGAAGCGACGCGAAAGTTTCCGCGTTGGTCCGTTTAAACTTTTACCGGAGTAACATGCACGGAGCGTTTCGCTCGGTTCGCATCGATTCCGGGCCGGTAAATCTCTTTTGAAAAGTACGTCGCGGCGCATTGATTCCGTCGCGGGCGACGGAGCCAGGGTATTCCGGCGGGGTGGCTGGAATGGCTTTTAATAGGAGGTCGAATTCTTAACGCGCGGTGACGAAAGGCAGAGGCTGAAAAGGGGCCGCGGGAGGAATACACCGGATCCGCGGCTCCCCGGGGACAGTGTCGATAAAAATGCCTCCGCGCAACCGGGGGATACATCAAGTATTTCGCCGAAGAGCGACAGGTGACAAGGGAGATTACTTTTGCGTTTGTGCGGCCGGAGACGGACGTGTGTGGCTGGTAACGCCGGTAACGAGCGTGTCGCGCGGCCCGCGGCGAATATCTTTCTTGTAGGTCAGCGATATATCCTGCCTCTCGCCAAAGGATTTCAATTTTCCGCAATCTCTTCTCCCCCACTCTTACCTGACAAACGATTTCCGATCTTCCTGCCACGTTCAAACGAGATCTATCTTTTTGGCAGGGTTTTCCTAAAATGAAACGCGGTCCGCTGAATTTTGAATACGTTACACGCGCCTCGTACTCGGGATTCCTGTAATATCGGCGATCCTTTCATCGCGCGGATCGACGAATGAAATATTAAATTACCGTCCGGGAGGACCGTCCGATGTTCGTCTAAAGGAGGAAACGCGGCGATTCGGTAATAGGTGAATCGGAAGAATAGATTTTCGAATGGTTCCACGGTCCTACAAGACTTACTCCCCGGGTTACCCGCCGCGCAGGAATTTCATTCGATCGGGTCCAATATGCGGTGAACGTTTTTTGCCGCGCTGCTATGAGTTATTCTTTTTGCACGCCGGTATTCGATTATGTCGTGGCAGCGGTGCACGCGGACGCGGCTTAAATGGCCTAACCGGTTCCACCCAGAAAATGTTTCTCGTGTAACGGCCCGACGGAAGTTGGACTTGGACGAACTTAATTGGGTTTTGTTCCACGGCCTTCGATCGGTCGCCTGGTCGTTGCCGTTGCCGTCGGTGCTGCTGCTCCACCGCCGCCGCCGCCGCCGCCGCCGCCGCCGCCGCGACTTTTGCCCTCCCTCGGCATTCGCGACGAGTGCCGGAGCAACGTACCCGCGTTTTCCACACGTTTTCCATCGGGATTTGGCCCGTTGTTCGGCTATCGATCCCCTTTCGACCATCGTTCCTCTCGGCAGCCGTTCTTTTTCTGGGAACGCGAACAGACTGCCGGCACGGCACGTTCTCCCTTCGACGGTGTTCTCCGCGCCAAAAATCCACTCGCAGAGGGAAGCATTCTCGCGGGACGATTTCATGGGTTTTCATTTTTTCTTTCTCTTCTTTCTCTCCATTTTCGACCAGCCACATTTCCAACGCCGTCGGCGAAACACGCTTAACCCCTGCCCGGCTCGATGGGAAACGAGCATCGGGACGAGGGAGGAGAGGCACGGGACGAGGAAAAAAAGGACGGGCGTCGATTCGCGTCATTACCGCGACGGTAAGATATCTCGCGGCGAGATTTAGTCGTATCCGTTAACGAATCCGCGATGGAATCCGCGAATATGCCCGAGGGGGCTGCGGTGGCGCTCGCCGTTCGTCGCGTGCCCGAAGTTTGCTTTCAGAAACGAGTTTTTGAATTCGTAATTCGCGACGATATTGAATTTCTGCGGAGATGAAGTTGCTTTCGCCAATAACGCGTCGCTTTTAAAGGAGCAACGCACACTCCTGCCGGCGACATAACTTGAAAGGAGAAATTAGATTTTATCTCTCGTCTACCTTATCCCTGAGGGTCTGGCGGGCGTATTTTTCCTTACCAAGATTTCTTTTCCGCCGTTCGAATATCGATCCCTCTACCCGAACCACCCTCCGTCGTGTTCCGTTCACGCGGATCGAGCGCGAGAGGGGCTTTAGCCGGCTAGAAAACTCACGGTGCGTAACGTTAAGCGGCAGAAAAGTCGGTTCCCGCGGAGCCGTCGACGCGGTGTTCGGCTCCGGCGTCGGCGTCGGCGTCGGTCTCGCGGGACGATTTTCCGAGCGTATCTCTTCTCGCACCCTTCGAACCGTCCGGCCGCGTCCCTTCGACACGATCCTCCGGCGTGTTCTTTCGCGCACCGTCGCCGAACGTTCCTCCCTGTCTATCGCCTTTGATCGTTCTAGTGCGCGCTGCATAGCTTTTAAGCAAGAACCGTAGACTACAAAAGCTCTTTCGACGCGGCGCGTAAAGTGGGCTTCACCTTTTCCGATTCGCGAGCGAGCTATCCAATGCCGCGTCGCCGAACGCATCGACCGAACGATTCCTCGGAAGGAAATATGCGACAGCTTTTACCGGGATGTTCGTCTTCTCCTTTCGAGAAATGCATCCGCGAGACGCAGCCGTGTGGCAACGTCGACCGAAATTAATAGGTCGACGGTTGCTGGGGTCACCGATTGATTCGCACTCGACTGCGGTTCGTTCAACCGGACGAGAATTGCTCGTAAACTTCTCGAACGAAGCATTGACGTTTACCGAGAAAAACGTACGAAGAACGGTAACGTAACTCAAGCGGTTTGATATTACATTCTCTGAGTTATGCATAACCCGGTCCTTCTCTTGATCGTCTTTCCGTTTCACCGTTAACCCTCGGAGTACCGCATCACGCAGTCATTTCTGACCCCACACCGATGTTCCACTAATACATTCGCTGTCGCCGGAGCTCACCGCCAATACTGTACAAACACAGTGACGGTTGCTCGAGCTCGAAACCCTCATAGACGTACCCTGTGTAAGTTCGTGTCGGGTTATGTTAGGATTCTTGTTTCGCACGTAGGAAAGAAAAGAATCGAGTTCTGAACATAACAAAACTTTATTTCAATCTCTTCGCATAGACCGTTCACAATTGTTAATATCACCGTCATCATTGTCAGCGAATGCGACGTAGTCCAGTTCTTCGCTTGTCGATAATCAGCCATTGTATCAGAGTTCCACGGGAAACTGCGTGGCATTTGTTTCTCCGCACCGTCGAATGGTCACGACGGGTCGCAAATGACCCGGGCATGGTCTGCGGAGGGTTAATGCTGCGTCGGTCGTGTTGAACCGACCGAATCGTTCATTATTCCCGCTCGTCGCTGACCGTTCCGATCGAATAACGTTTAAAGGCCCGCGTCGAGTCGTGCGTGCTCGCGAGCGCGTGTAGTACCAGTCTCGCGCAAATGCATCGAAATCTATAGCCCCGCGTCCCGATGCACACGACCAGCCACGGTCGTAGAAATTGGGGGTATCGATGCAGCGTTCCTGCTACTTTTAACGCGGTAAATTAATGAACATGGTCAATGTCGTCGGCTCAACGACGGCTGCCGCATACAGATAGCCGCGGGGAAAATTTGCCGAACCGGCCACCGGTACTCGGGTAACGTCGTTATCGCGTCGCGAGCGAGCACACCGCGGAAAAATCAGCGCAGATTTTCGTGGGCATCGCCGGTTGTAAACGCGATGACGCCGCGGTAACTTTCCCTCGGAGTATACACACGGCACCTTTATTTTATCCCTGCTAATTCGACGTCGTTCGCATAATTTTTTCGGATCGGCCGCCTACGAGCCGGCAATTGTTTTTTACGCGACGTGATTTCAACGCGACGGGATCGTCACCGGAACGGGCGGATATTTTTTCAGCCGAATCGGCCGCCTGCATTCGGCAAATTTCTGGCGCCCAGGAATAATTTGCGCGCGGCTTGATTGCAGCCGAACAACCTTTTTTCCCGCCGACTAAAACACCGATGGAAATCATCCGCGCGTAGGAGCGTCGATGGGCGAGCCTTTATTAAATAAACACGGCGCTTCGATGTTATTCGCCGCGGGGGGCCATCTTTCCACGAATATCCGCAAAACTTGGTACACCCGGGGACGACGTAACGAGGTGATCGTTAGCCACACGTTTATTACGCTCCCTCAGCATCCTCGAGCAAATAAAGCGTGCTGAAATCCGTGCTGGCGCAAATGTTCCGACGGAAATTCGGGTCAAGAACTAACATCGAACAATCCGACGAAAAAGAGAAAGAAGAAGCGACGGGGTAATTCAAACACGGTGCCGTTGTACGCGCGCATCCACCGAACCGTTTCATTTCGTGTCCCGAAATTTCGTTATTATGCCGTCGGGTGAGCGCCGAGATCGATTAGACCCGTTCAGCGGTAATTTCGTTACGGCGTCGAGTACAAAAGGATGGAGGACATCCTCCGGACCAATCGAGAATCGAAGGAGAACGAACCTATCGATTAAGTAGAAATTCACTGGTGTCCGACTCCTATTTCGACTCAGCTTTCCATAAACCGCACGTTGTCGACTACTCTTACAAAATTTCATTAAACGCACCGACTTGCCCAGAAGAATACCCATTCGAAATTCACCCAGGGAAAACAATAACCAGAATATAAAAAACATCCAAGACGTCGCCCCTTAACTAGTCAGAAACGTCCTCTTCCCAGGGGTTAACGTCGGAAGACACCGTCAGCGTTAAACGCGCATCGGCTCCTCAATCCCGGCGCCTCGCGCTTATCAGCGGCGGGTAGCGTAAAAAGGCGGAGAGCTATCGTCGTATCTCGAGAACAAATAACGAAGGCCCGTTTCTCTTTTTTCTGATTGCAGATTGGCGGCGTTGCAGCGGTGTCAACGAGATACCAACGACGGGGACGAGGACGAGGACGCCGAGGATGGCGGCGTGATCGTGTCGCGGGGGTGGTGGGGTTGAAAATCGGCGCTTGCCCGGTATCTCCTGTGCACCTTCTTCCTTCTCTCTCTCTCTCCTCCCGTCCGTCCTCCTTTCCCGTTCGATCCTCCTTTTCCTTTTTTCCAGCAGTCGACTGCCCCCTATTCTTCTCCGGCCGCGGCTCTGCCTCCGCTTCCGCGTTTCGGCCACGTGCGTGCGGTGCTGGCTCGCGAAGCACGCACACGCAACTCGCGGGACACCGGCGAGCAGAGGAGAAAGAACAGAGAGACGCAGCCAGGCGAGCGTAGTCCCGGAGACTGCGCGCAACCGTCGCTCGACGCTCGGAGTGGGGGGTCACCTGTCGTGGCGCTGCGCGTCGTTAGTGTGACGGCGACCGTCGTGGGTCTCGCATCGTCCCGTCGTGCGCGCGAACCGAACCGCCTCGAGAGTGACTTTCCGGTGAGTCCACAGTGACAGAGGGTGAGAGGGAGAGAGAGGGAGACACGCGTGCACACACACACGCGCGCCTAGAGAAAAAACACGGGCAGGGGTGGATAGGGCGCGCACGTGCGCGCAGGGTGGTCGGCCGCCTCTCGTCCTCGCGCTCCTTCTCTCCGACTCGGATCCCGTTGCCGGAGGGTGGCCGGTGGTCGGTCGGGGTCCGTCTTGGTTTTCGAAAATTCGCTGCGAGGCGCGCGCCAGCACGCCGCGTTCCGAGTTCTCGTGAATGTGCGGGGTCGGTAAGAAGCCGGTCGTCGTCGTCCCGAGGGAAACATGCGTGAACAGAGCTGGAGGACAACGACTGCGACAGCGTCAGCGACGAGGAACACGCTGCACGTGACTGCGGCACCCTCGCACCTTCTGCTGCAGTGAGTGGAGAAGCCGAGAGAAACGGAGGGAAGGAGAGTGATTGAGAGGAACACGGTTCTTTCTCGCCCCGTTCTTCTCCGTTGCACCGCACGTGCGGGTTGTCGGGTCGCGGCGCCGGCAACGGATGTGCTTCGCCCTTCGTTCTTCGCGGGGAGTAAAGAGTGCCGGTGGTTGGTGCGGTATTTTCTCGTGAGTTACTCGCCGCGGTTCTCTCGTTCCCGTGCAACCCTCGCGGAGGAGACTACGAACCCTGGCACGTATCCGGTCCAGTTCGAACCACCCGAGAGAAGATGAGGCGTACCATCTTGGAAACGAGGATGCACCCCGTGTTGTCCTGCTGGTGCGTCGTCGCCACGGTCACCCTGGCCCTCGCGGCCTGGCAGGAGAACATCAGGCCGAAGATGTACGTCCAGCTCGGTAAGTGATCGTTCACCTTTGTTTACTCTAGCCTATCGTATCGTTCCGCGTATTGCTGCGTATTTCGTCTACGACCCGCAGGCACGGCCGTTGTCGGCCGCTAACGATTCCTAGAAATCTCATCGACGACGAGAGAACGTCGCGGTTTCGCGTTTCTCCCGTACACTCGCTCGGGCCAAGGTTAATCGCGTCGATAACAAAGGAGAGTGGTTCGTAGCAAAGACGAGGGGAAAGAAAAAAAGAACCTACTTACCGGTTCGAATAACGCGGGGGCGCTTCCGTTCGACGGTCAGGGCGACCCTCCTGCCCCGCGTCTTTCGTTCACCTTCCGCCACCCCGGGGAAGCGATGAAAAATTCTCGGATCGAGATTTCCCGTTCTATTTTCCTCCTCTTTTTTCCCGGCCGCCTCTTTCATTCGAAATTCCCTGTCGGTTGCTTACCGATCGAACGAAAGCGACTACCACGGCAACAAAAGCTGAGCCGCGATTACGCTCGAAGAAAAATTAAAATTCCTTCGACGGGAGATCCCTCTCCCGCTCCCTGTTTATTACGAGACGGGTGCAGTGGGATGGGTGGAGCTTTATTTTCTCGTTTTCTCGCGTAGCATGCGTCCGGGTAGCCGAGCGACGATGCGGAACGGAAGTTGCACCGGGTGCACAGGGTCATGGACCTTCCCCCACCTCGGTATTGTTTCAACCCTTAGCGGCGCGGGGAGGTATGTGTGCAACTCGGTGACTGCGAACCCTAATCAGTGACATAACCGGACCCCCCGCGCGGCTACATGGAAAGAATATAAAGCTATATCGACCGGCGTGTCCCGTTTAAATGATTAAAGCGCGCGATAGAACGGATATTCGTGGAAAAACTCGTCACCGGCGATTTGCGCCCCTATCGATTTTGCGATCCGTGCTCGATAAACGTTCATCGCCGATCCCGTTCGACTCGGGGTCCGCTCTACTACGACCGATCGAACCTGCTCCTCTTCTCTTCTCCTCTCCTTCGTTTCTTCTTCGCGCACCCGCTTCGACCGAGCGGCAGAGCGATCCGCCGGGAACAAAAAGGATCGGCCGATGGGGCGTGAGAGATTAAAGTGTCTACCGTGCAATTAAAAAGCGACGAGTGCGTCGAACGAACGATTGATCGATATCTCGCGCTCGCCCGCGGGAGATGCGGAGAAGACCGCGAGCGGGAACGGCGCGAGTGCTGTCAAGGCCGGAGGTTTTCCGCGAGGAGCCGGCACCGAGGAGGAACGAAGGGAGTCGAGGGTGAAAAAGAGAGGAGCGGGAAGAGCGAGTGACGCCGGAGAGTACAAAGCGTCCCACATCCGAGGCACTCGACCTTAACGGCACTCGGCGTGTTCGCAGCGATGGTACGCGACCGACGCCCAACATCCATCATTCTTTCCGCGGTGGAACGATGTTTCGGCGAGAAAAGGAACGAAATAAATTGCCCCGAAGCGAGTGCATCGTATCCCGCCCAAATGCCACTCCATTTACGGAAAACTTTGCGATTCCATCCTCCCCCGGAGCCTGGCTCCGCTGTGCAACGCCTATTAGAGCCAGTTCCCTGCCCCGACGTTCTTTGATCCTGTGCCAATGAACGCTCCTCGAAGGGCCTTCTCGAGGCCTGGGCTCGTTGGGAATTACTTTATTAAGGAACCACTCGATATGACTAGGATTCTTGGATTCTTTGCCGTTTACCTGCGCCCAAGTGCTAATCCCCAGCCCGTTAATCGCCCCAAGCTGTTCGCCGAGAACCGCCCGGGATCGTTTTTAAAAGTGCTCCGAACTGGCTCGAACGGACCTGCCAGCAGGAAAGTTCTGTTAACCGGTCAGCTGTGCGCGACGAGTACATTCGTCACAAAGAAATGGGAATTTGTTGTGTCACCGCGAGAGAAATTCAAGTATATTCGCGAATTTCAAGGATTTAATAGACACGAACGATGTAAAATGGACAAAGGAAATGTACAAGGTTACTATGGAAAAATTACACGACATAGACGTACACTTTTAAAAGAGGGCAACACGGTTCACCGGTTAACACGTTGATTGTCACGAGTAATTCGTCTAATGGCGAAACAATAGATGAACATAGGTTGTTCGGCTAAGGGAGAGCGAGGACAAGGAAAATCTTCGAAATTACCGAGGAAGCGTAGTTTGGAAGTTCGAGGAAGGTTCAGGATTTAGCATACTGGCCGGCAGGGGTGGTGTGTCGCTTCGACGGGGGCGTACCGTAGTTCGACGATTCAGCGGCGGAAGTATGGCGGTAGTAAGCCGGAACATAAGCTCATTAGGTCGTTATGAATTTCGTCCGTGTATTATTTTCCAATAGCGACGCGGACAGAGGCGCCGCGCCGCGCCCGGCGACCGGGGGACGCGCGGCAGGAATTGAAATTACACGAAGCACGTGTTATTAATACGCCACTGGCATTGCGGCAACGGCGCTGTTTTGCTCACTGAGCCAGAATTTCTGCTAATTCTACAACGGGGAGAACCACGCCGCAGAACCGAAATTGTAATCGCCGGGAAACGCATATTGCCGTTACGGCTGCCACCGGGGGAGGGAGGGAGCATCGCCTTCGCTGACGCAACGTTATCCGATGCAGCGCGTTACGATTCCGCCATTTAACCGTACGCGTTTTTATTCGGCACCGTTCGAAACTATACGGCCGTTGTTACCGTTCGCCAATTAACCGTCCATTGAATCCCCTTTCCGTCGACCTTGCCGCCGCTGGCTCCGACCTTTCAACTGTCATTGGTGCTTACTGACTTTTTCCGATACTAGCCTCGCGGTTTGCTTTTCATCATTCATTTGGAAAGGAGATGTAGCCGACAGCCGGAAGCACTTCGCGTCCAGTCAGACGTTATTTCCCCGTATCGTCGAAACGCGCGAATTCCCGCGCGATCGTATTTTTCTTGACCGTTTTCCCGACGGAACGGTGCTCCCGTGGAATCCCATCGGCACGAAACACGAATGCAGAAGACAAACGTAGCCGTAGTTTGCCGAGCGCACGATTCGCCGGGCACGTATCCCGCAACAGCGGCAGTTAAAGGGTTAATTCGTGGACTTGCCGTTCCCCGGGAAGTTTCGCCGGTTGTTTCCTCTTTCGGGCGTGTTGTCGTCTTCCGGTTCGTTGGCTTTCAAACGTAAAAAGCATCGACGCATAGCGATATTTCAACGGTCGCGTGGAAAATGGGCCGCGCATCTGCGAATCGCTCGTCCGCCGGACTGCGCTGACGATCGGTCGTTTCTGTTGAAACGAAAAACAGCCACCCCTCCAGCCCCGGCCGTTTCCAGCGAAAAAAAGCGCGTAAAATATTTGCTCGCCATCGGAGAGTCGTGAATCAGGGCACACGGACGCTTAAAAAATAGCGCGGCGAGACGTGTTTGAAACATCGAAACCGCGGCGAGAAGATGAGCGCGGTCGCGTCGGAACGCGATCACCGGCTCGACGCAGGCCGCCTATGACGAATAAAAGGGAGATCGGTGAGGTGGAACCAGCTGGGCTCGTCCGCCGTCCCTTTGACGGTCGAAACACGGCCGGATCGATAGTAACGCGTCGACCGAACCTATCGGCGGCGATGCCTGCTGAATTTCGCCGGCCGATTCGACGCCGAAAAACTTTTGGTAACGGACGATACGCGCGGCCCGTGTAAACGCCGCGTTCGCGGGAACGCGTTAAATAAAAGACACCGGGGGATCGGATCCGCGGTCGATAATAACACTGGTTACCAGTTCATTACGGCATCGCAGTCCGAATGGGAGCGTCGGATCAGTATATGGGCTATAGCGGGCAGTTAATCCATATTACGGTAACTTTATCTGGCAGCGAGGAATACCGCAGCGGACCAATCACAGCACGGCCTCCGACCGATGAGAGGATACATTATGATTAGTTTCAGCATACCATATACGCGACCCAGCACGTATAACCCGACCTCGGTCCAACCACTGGCTAAAATTACTGGGAATCGTGTCGATTGACTCCACGTTCCCAGCCTCGCGATACGTAATTCCGACTCCGCAACTTCGATCGGTTCGATTGTCTTTCCCTCCCGTCCTTTTCTTTCGCTTCTCTGTCGGGAAAGAGGACAACGCGACCGTTCTTCTTTTTTTCATTCCGCTCCGCTTCCGGATGTTACCGTCTCCCCTTTAATTCTCGTATGCGCAAGGAACCCGAACCCATCGTGGATTAATACCAGACAATTGGCGAGGTGTAGGAGCTCGCGAGCCTGGAAATGATTGATTCGAT